GGTGCAGCTGGCGGAGGGCTTCTGAGATGATGGTCCGTGCGACACGCCGAATAGCTGTCCAGGCTCCCGCCGAGCCAAGACTGTCTTAGACAAACAGATTTTTCCCTTCTTGAGCTGCCGAGCTGTTGTGGTGTTTGCATGAGCGGAAAAAATCGGCGTTTGACAGCATTTGGCATCGTACTTGTGTGGGCGTGACTCTTGCAGTTCAGCATTAGTCACAGAGACCTATGCAGCACAGCGTGTCTACTTTGGCAGGCTGGTGGTGCGGAGGCCTGGCATAGGAACTTGCAACGGCGAATTTCGAGCTGCTCATTAATGCCCTTACGTGCTTTAGCGAAGTCCTTGGAAAAGCACGGCGACGCTGGAGTTGGGGTGTCTGGGAGGGTACATCTCAGAGACTGTCAGGTATATCAGGTATGGACACTGCCACGAATCTCTTCCGAGCTGCGCACGACCGCATCCCGTTCTCTGACTCTGAGGAGTTGGCCAATTTTGGCCAATCCTAGGATGGCCACACCCTCGCAGGATGCCAACTGGCTAGACGTGATGCTGCGAGAAATCAAATGCAGCAACCCTGTGCAGCCAAGTAAGGTTTGTTTTTTCGAGCGCCGCTTCTTGTATCGCAGGTGCTCCAGTTAAGGTTTTCATCAGGCTGTTGCTGCGTGTTCAGGCTCCAGCAGGATACGCAGCGTGCAATGTATCGAGCAGAGCCACCCAACCTTGCCAATGAGGACCACCCGCGCCTTTACCACGACTAAGTGAGGTCCAACTTTCGCGGCATTCTAGTTTTCCCCGTGGCTCTCTTTCATGGAGCTATTGGAACGTTCAACCTCTTCGCCACACCGTTTTGAAGCCTGACAAGAGTACATCGCACCGCAGTACCTAATGGCTAGATTCGAGTCGCTTCCAGACCCCCAAGCTCCTAGCAGGGATGCGCCAGCGGGCCAGAGATGTCTCGGAGCACCCGCGCGGGCTTGGGCTTCAGCGTGAGGGGCATCTTGCTCCTAGGCTGCAAGTCATGATCCTTCTTTCCTGACGTTTTTTGCTTCTTTCCGTGAAGTCTTTATGTGGGCATTCATGCAAAAACTGCTGGGAGTTTTGGGCTTGAAAAGTCTCTTCTCGCAAAAAAAAGCTCGCGATGCAGCGTTCTGTTACCTAAAAGGAAGGGAGCCCCAGAGTGAAGCCAGCTTTTGTTCTGAGAGGGAGGCCAGGCGGTATATCCCATGATCAATGCAAGTGGAACTCATGTTTCAGCATAAGAAAATCCTTGTCTCAACGCGACTTCTTGCGAGCTTATACCGTGATCGTATTGCCCTTTATAAGAATTTAGGGTCTTCCCCCTTTCCAAGGAACCTCATCCTCAATGCCACTGGGGTGGCGGCAATCCTCTGGTGGAGCGTGGCCAGCTTCCGGCTTCACAACCTCCATGGACCCTCCGGTGCGCTGACTTCTTAGCTTCAGCAGTTGGATGTTTTTGGTCACTGCTCGGGTTTCCAGGTATCAATTCCGAAGACGTCATGGAGGTGGAAGCACCGCGGGTCGGCAAGGGTGGCAAGGGCCAGCCGCCACTTGGCTATAGGGGTTGAAGCAGTGTGCAAGAAGGCAATTCCGCAGCCTGCGGTGCCATGCCTGACAAATGCTGACAGTCATGCCTTGCTTGTGCTGGTTTCTTGCACTGTAGTGTTGGGAAGGAAAGTTCGCGGAGCAAAAGCACCTCACCAAGACCCAGCCGAAGGCAGCAAAGTACTGCCAAAAGGCCCAGTTCCATGATTTGGAAGACCAGTGAGACTATTACGATTATTGTGTTTATTTATGTTACTGCTCTTATCATTACAACCTGTATGACTGCTGTTGGAGTCATTGGCCAACTCGACTTGTCCACGGGACCTGCTTCCACAATGTGATCGCACGAATGGACCATATGGAGATTAAAATTGAAAATAAGTGGAAAATTCAACAGAGGCTACTGTTTAGGGTTTAATTAGGGATATGGCCCGGAATGCTGGCGTTTGCCAACTGCATGTTTGCCAGATGATGCCCCTTCAGCGCCAGCGCCCGTTGCGGTCACCTTGCCCAAAGGACCCGCATTCTGCAAGTGTGTGTTTGTCCATTTCCAGGAAACATGTCATCATTAGCAAGGCGTCTTAGCACATGATAACATGAAGTTGCATCTGGAGATGCTCCGCCTGCCCATGTGGTGTCTTCGGAACCCTTCTGGGTGTACTGCGCTGCTCAATGGGCCGACTGTTGGTGTCCAGGCCTGCAAGGGTGGCGCAGCGAGAAGTTATCGATGCCAGCTCATGCTAGCAGGGCCTGCCAATCCCTCACTCCTTGGCAATGCTGACCTTGCACAGGCGACATTCGCTGGGGGAACGAGGAGACTTGGCACCTTATCCCTGCAAAACCTGGCAGCACGCTCGGCATGATTGAAGACAGTCCGGACGTTCATGAAAGCTGAGATCGCAAGTTCCCAGCAGCATCCTACAACATGTACGTGCACTGGTGCTGGATGATGCAAGCCAGGTGACATGAACACCGTAACGCACCACGGACGCAAGCAGCTGTTGGTGAACACCTCAGAGGGCGTCTGGCATTAAAGATGCTCATCAGGTGCAGCATCCAGCACTTGCCAGACAACGTTCCAGGAGACGATGGTAAGCATTGCCAGTGCTTGGTCACCCCAGGCCTTCGCTCGTGTCATGGAAGCTTCTGAGGGCGTCACACTGCGGCATGGGAGCTTGCATGCCATGACTGTGTTTGGTACTTGCCAGGGTCCGACTTCCACCGGGCGATGAACCCAATGCTGATGGATGAGGCCTTTGGGTGTAGCACACTCGAAGGTGTGGCCTGCTTCGTCTACAGGGCCAAACCAGCACGCAGGAGGTAGATTGTGGATTTGAAAAGCCTGCAAGTAAAGAAAAAGAATCCCTAATGGACGGGGACATCACGCCCTCGAGAAGCCCCAGCTGTGGCGCAGCACTCTCAGGCGGACGCAAACTCGCTTGGAGCAGAGCTTGCCGCCTCGTGCCAGCTTTTCTTCGATGCGCGGAAGCATGGGCTTGAGGGCCAAGCTTTGGGTTTTTGTACACCTATATGCGGCTTGAGACCCTACGACTCATACGGCCCATGACCATGGAAGATCCTGAAGTTTGCCCTGTGACGTGGCTCTTGACTTTTGCAGGGTCCTTTATCGCGAACGATCCTCACAACGTAGATATCTTGTTGGGAGCCACTTTGTACCCTACAACGTAGCCCTGACAGTGGTTTGTTTGGATACATACTTTTGTTCAACAAAAACTACTTCGCTGAGTTTGCACGGCTTACGGATGTGATTTGGTAGAGCGTGATTTGGCTTGAGTAAGATTTTGTGTAGCGTTTGAAGGCTCTCTGGATTTGACAAGGCGGGAGTGGTGGACTTGCGCGTAAACTTCCTCCTAGAAAGCGCATGCAGCCAACACACTTGGTCAAAGGGATTCCTCCCGCCTCCTAAAGGTACCCCTAATCTGGGGCAACCCTAGACCCTAAACCCTATATCCCCTAAAAATACGTATATTCAACTTATAGGTTATATGTTGCCCGCGAAATTGGGCGATGTGACAGAATGCCTTGGTTGGCATGGGCCCCACACGGCCCTTTATTTAGAGGGGAGCGGCCAACGGCTGGGGGTTGCCCCCCATGCTGCTTGCCCTAATATGTATATAGGGAGTCTACAGGGGTTATATAAGGGTATTCTCCCTATAGTGGAGAATCAAATCAAAAAATGGAAAATCAAATGGAAACACCTGGGTTATACAATGTGGGGATGGGATATATAGCCCCACAAAAATCGAGAATCAAATCGAAACAAACATTGAAAATGAAATGGAAACTTCTAATTGTGGAGCGAGGGCGGCCGATGCAGCTCAGTGGCTGGCCACAGAAGGTCTTTGCTCCGAGGCCGGGCTGTTTAGGGTCAGTAGGGAATAAGGTTTTGGGGTTTAGCGCTGGGATCTAGGATTGAGGAGGGAATAAGGGGATATATGATGCAACAGTCACAGGGACGGGGCCCCTGGAGGTCGCGATCCTTGCAACTGTCGTCGCTTTTGACGCCTCAAAGCTGCCATCCTTGTAACTGTCGTCACTTTTGGCTCCTCATGCTTTCGTTGCGTTTCAAAAGTCCCAACAGTTGCAGGGATGGGGCCCCCCAATGTCACGATGCTTGTAACTGTCATCATTTTTGGACCTCGGTGTGGTCTTGGCGTGTGAAAAGTGCCAACAGTCACAGGGGAGGGGCCTCCCGGGTTGCCATCCTTGTAACTGTCGTCACTGTTAGACTTTCGTGGTGTTTATTCCTGGGGCTCAAGCTCTATTGTGTCCAAAATCATTAAAAGAATTAAGGTGACAGCATTAGAAATGATGTGGGATGTGAAGAAGGATCATTTACGAATGCCCACACCCTCCTAATATACCACCACACCCACATGGACAGGAGTACCAGAACCACAGGACCACAGTGGGGGGGAGAATCGCCAGCACAGCATATTTGCCACAGCGCGAAGCTTTGAGTTTCCTGCCAGTGCAGTCACATGTTCAACCACCAACGCATGATGTCCTATGCTCAAGGTTCTAGTGTAAGGACTACCAGCACCTCTGTGCCTAAGTGTAGAAAAGAGACACCTGATCGCTTTGCTGTCTGTACCGTAGAGAGGACAGTAGCGCAAAGGCTGCCTCTCACACACAAAAGGAACCACCAGCACAACAGGACCACGACCACAACAACCACAGGGTCCACAGGGGGGAGGAGCAGAACCACATGGACAGGACCACCAGAA